TGTACAGTCATTGGTCGTCACTGGCTATAGCTGTGTCTGCGCTTCAGTTCGCTGTGCCGTAGTGATTGACTGTGTCCAGTGATTGCTGAGCTTGCTAAGCATATTATTGAAACAGCTGGGCATGTTGTCAACATGATATTTAGCATATAAATACAGCTGAAGTCTGAGCAATAATCACCAACAGCTTCACCTAGCATAGTCAGGCAGAACAGCTATATACTGTTGGGGAATGTTACTGTATGACTTTTCATAATCTTTCCCAAAGAAATGATGTCTTCTGTGAGATAAATGAGACCAAAGCAACATTTTAAATCATTGTGAATTGACTAACACCAGATAATGTTGTCCATTATTGCAAAAGGTAGTAGCAATAACTGTCGCTGCAACCTTTGACTGAGAGGACTTCATGTTTTGCAGTGGTTAAAAACCCATCCATCCATGTCCAGGAGAGATGCCCAGACCTCCCTCTTCGCAGCCACCTCCTCCGACTCTTATGGGGGAACACCAAGGCGTTCCCAAGCCAGCTGAGAGGCCCTGCATGTCCTGGGTCTGCTCCAGACCTCCTTCAGGTGAAGCATACCCAGAACCCCTCACCTAGGAGGTACTTGGGTAAAAACCAATCAAATAATTCCGATTACAATATTAATCAAATATTTAAATGCAATGAATGTAATAAATGTAAAGATTAATTTACTAAGCAATATCATTAATTTGAATATTCCTGCAGAGTATCTTAGCTGTTCCCAGGACTGCGCTCTTCTGGACAGAGATCTCCGATGTTGTTCCTGGGATCTGCTGGAGCCACTCGCCTAGTTTGGGAGTCACCGCACCTAGTGCTCCGAACCACCGTTACCTTCCCCCTCCACATCCTCTCGAGCTCTTCTCTGAGCCCTTGGTATTTCTCCAGCTTCTCGTGTTCCTTCTTTCTGATGTTACTGTCATTCGGAACCGCTACATCGATCACTACAGCCGTCTTCTTGTTTGTCTACCACCACTATGTCCGGTTGTTTAGCCACCACCATTTCGTCCGTCTGTATCTGGAAGTCCCACCGGATCTTAGCTCGGTCATTCTCCACCAGGCCTCGAGGGCCGGTGTCCTGCAGGTTTTAGATGTGTCCTTGTTTGATGACAGCTGATTTAAATGACTAAATTACCTCCTCAACATGTCTTGAAGTTCTTCAGAGGCCTGATGATGAACTAATCATTTGATTCAGGCGTGTTGACCCAGGGTGAAATCTAAAACCAGCAGGACACCGGCCCTCAAGGCCTGGAGTTCGACACCCCTGCTGTACACTATGCCGGCCACTTGGTTATGGCGTTCCATGTATGCCTTGCCTGCTAGCATCTTGCACCCTGCTGTTATGTGCTGGATTGTCTCTGGGGCATCTTTACACAGCCTGCACCTGGGGTCTTGCCTGGTGTGATAGACCCCAGCCTCTATGGATCTTGTGCTCAGTGCTTGTTCTTGTGCTGCCATGATTAGTGCTTCTGTGCTGTCTTTCAGTCCAGCTTTGTCCAGCCACTGGTAGGATTTCTGGATATCAGCCACCTCCTCTATCTGCCGGTGGTACATACCGTGCAGGGGCCTGTCCTTCCATGATGGTTCCTCACCTTCCTCCACTTTCTTGGGTTTCTGCTGCCTGAGGTATTCACTGAGCACGCTGTATATATACATATACATGTATACAGTGTTGGGGAGTAACGGAATACATGTACCGCCATTACGTATTTAAAATACAAAATATGAGTAACTGTATTCCGTTACAGTTACCGTTTAAAAAGGTGGTATTCAGAATACAGTTACTTTGCTGAAATAAAGGGATTACATGGCTTCACAGAGTGGAACGGACCCTCTTAGAAACCTGTTTGGAGTTACATTCACGCAGTCAACTCTCAGATAAAATACTCTGAAAAGGCGTAACAAGTACAAACTCAGTGATTTTCTCTTTTAATATATATAAAAATATTCATGCATTATTATTTTGCTCAGTCTCAGTGAAGCTTTGTATCACACACATGTAGTCCATCTCTCCCTGCTGTGGTGGGCTCCCTCTTCTTCCACTCCAGGGAGGGCCACTGTCACTTAATCCGGCCACTTGCCCCTCTGCACCTGTCAGGTGCCATCTTGTATCTGCGGTTAAGCTAGCAGAAAATAGCCCTGGGAGCACAAAGCACTACAGGAACTGAAGAGAGGAGCTGGGCAGAATCTGAGCTCTGACCAGGAAATCTGCTCCGTTGTTCTGGAGAGGTGATGGGTCATTGTACTGCAGTGTTTTTTAACTAAAATCATGTCTTCTGGGCAATATACCTTCTGACAATATGGTGACCGGAACATTATAGTAAATGGTATATGCCATCTATTATTTAAGTTAGGAACAAACACATGAGAAAAATAAAATCTGAAATTGTTTCTAAAAGAAGTCAGTCTAATTAACCTTTATTACAAAAAAGAGATGAATTAGCCTGTCGAGGCTGACCAGTCATAATTGATTTGTCCGTTAGATAATCCACTTAAAAACTACATAACACATTACAGAGCCCCTGGACACACTTCATTATGTCCACTGGAAAACATACAGTGGTACAACACCTGCCTTTGTTGTATATGATGCAAAAATAGACTGGCCATCAGCTTCTCAGAGCTGCGCATACATTAGAGCCTGTGAAGCCCTGCTTGATAGTTAATGCATAAATTATCAGTGAGTACAGAGCAGGAGATGTACTCTCAGTATATACAACTTTAACAATTTCTAACTTGCCTCTAGTCTATTGGCTACTGGATCAGAAATACGGTAATTTAAGACACCAGTCATTGGCTTGTGTTGTCAGAAAAAAGATATTTTCTCCATTTCAGTATCAGAATTTCTGCTTTTTGTGCACCTGTAGTCAGGGCCTTTGTGTAACAATATTGCAGCAGACTGCAGGGAAACTGAAACCTGCTCTCTAACTATGCACACCTTGTCCTCTTAGTTCATTTTTGTGCAGCTGCCTTTCTTAATATTCAGAGAGATTGTAGGTAATTTTTGACTTTTAATACTCATATGTCCACAGTTTTACAAAAGTAACCATTTTGCTAACAAAAAGGTAAGCAAATTATTGGGTGAGCTTTTACTGTATCCATAACACTGTGAAAAGCTTAAACCTCCCACTATCCAAGACAATTAGCATTTCATTACCATTTGAAAAACTGCAGCAACATGCCAGCCAGTAACTAGAAGGTCTAACAGAGCCAAACCTGAGGCACAGTAAAGTGTGCCAAATTTCAGAGATGTTGTATTTCACACACCTTAGGTTTGTCAAATTTGCATATTTTTGGAAACACGTTTTCTTGCCGTTATGGGTCACGATGCAAAGTGGGCTAATGCTAGTTCTTGGTTAAGATGCCAAAGCTTAAATTGTGTGTATATGTGTGTGAATCATGATCATCACAAGCACGTTAACCTGAAAAATAAATATAACTTGAGTTAGTATATGTGTTTTGCTGTTCTGTGCTCTGTCTTTAACGTGACAGCAAAAACATCACTTTGTCCATCTTTGAAATCTTTGTTCTAGTAGCTGCAAGTCCAGCAGCGTGAAAAAAAGTGACTTAGCAGCATTAGGACCAAGGCTTAAGTGCAATCAAACTATGTTTGATAGCTTTTGTTTTTACCCACTGTCCGTTCAGATAAAATAAATAAGTTAGACTGTGGCTCGATTCATAAAAAGTACTTGCAAGCAGTGCTGAACTCTTCCTTCTTTCTTCCAAGAGCATGCTGTGACTGGCTCCAGGCCACAGTAACCCTGACAAGAATAAGTGGTTCAGCGAAATTAATTATTAAATGATGGTGGTAATTGAAAAGGTTTAACTCGCACTGTAGGTGCCTGATTCTCCCCTGTACTCTTATCTTATGAACCTGGGGCCAGTTCATTTGCTTCCCTCTAATGGGCTAAAGCTAAAATCCCACTTGAGCAAGCATCTGCATCGCTCAAGTGTCCTTGAGCAACACACTGAATCACTGACAGCTGACTGCGACTCCTGACCTGTGTGGGGAGGAAGAAAAAGATCAATCTCCATAAATTATTCTTGATTATTATCCATTATTGATCATACCCTGCTGGAAGGTATCAATAAGGGAAAAGGGAAGAAGGGCCCACTGTGTTCCTACACTGCCTGGATCCATATTTGACTGTTAAACCCCCCCCCAACAAACAATAAAGTGAAGCTTCCTGTCCACCAGTGGAGTTGCTCTTAACTGAGTGAATATTTGGGTGGCTCCACCACAGCAGCTTTGATTTGGATGAATTTTATTCGCTGATTTTTACTTGAGAGTTGCATCTCAGCAATGATACTGATACTACATTATTTAAAGATTAGTCAGTAAATTAGCAATAACACCTCTGAAGTGGAAAACATCAGCTACTGGCTAGCAACTTTATGGGCTTTGAGATGTTTGAGCACTTGAAGAAGAGATACTTTTTCAAGTAAACTAAACCAACAATCTATTTTTAGTTACTAAACAAAACAAAAAAGAAGAACCTTAACATGAAGACACCACTCGACTCACTGTCATCAGCTGTGTTCATCTGTGATGCTGCTCTAATACGTGTGAGGCAGAGGACATTAAGAGTAAAGTTGTGTCCACAATGGAAGCAGTTTGCAGTGACATGGTAACCAGGGACCATAGAAAATGAATGACATTCAGTGACTTATGGACAAAATAACTGCTCCCAGCACAAAGTCAGTGGGACAGACACCTCCAGTGTGAATGCAGCTTTAAAACACAAAGGGGAACGAGCATCTCTGATTGGCAAACACTATGATGACACTAGGTATGAACTCAGTATGTCCTGTAAAAATAAATATACATGTTCATTATCGAAAAAACAATTATACCATACACCAGCACATCTAGTTCTATGTCAGCTTATAATATTACCTGACTGATAAATCATGGAGCTATAACAGATATCACAGACAAGAAAGCTAAGAAATAAGCTTCTTTATTCAATCACACTCACTGAAAAAAAACAAACTATTTGCTAACAGAAAACAGAGACTCGTGTTTTACTCGGCACATACAGAGATACACAGAAATCTAATCAACAACACTAACACATACATATCTAATCAATCACATCCTGAACACACAGCAGTTGCTTAAAATAATCTCTTGAACATGCAGTGATAAACAACTGCATATGAAAAGTGGAGGAAAACAGAAAAGGCATGAAAATAAAAGCAAAAAGGAGCAGCAGCCACAACATTGCAGGGGGGACATCATAAAGTGTACAGTAAGGAAAATGGCGCAATCTCAACAATATAAGTCATTATTCTGATGGCAGTGTTTTGCCATTCCATAAAACATCTCTTGCTACATTCCTACTATGACATAGTTTCACCTCCATTTAAAGATTTATCAGTACATTTGTGCACTGGAGCTACCCACATGCAGTATTTCATTTGCAGACTACACTAAAACATGTTTAACAGGCAGCTGTTTCCAGCTAAAATTCAATATTAGACTTCCTTATACCAGCCAGAAAACTTTAGAGGAATGTAAGTTAAAAGACACATAACTGGGAATTTTATCCTAATTAACAGAGGTTCACACAAGGCTGTGAAACACTAAGCTGCAAAAATACCTTGTTAGATTAAGGAAAATGCTTTTTACACAAGGCAGTGAAATCCAACTGTCCAGCAGCAAACTGCTGGATACAGCAGGGAAAATGCTTAACGCTAATTACAGCCTGGCGTAACGGATATACACTCGAGAAAATGATAATATTACAGTTGTAATTACTGCCAATTAGAGAAAAATTAATTATTTATGAAGGAATTTATTTAAGCAGGAAAACAGAGAGAAGTGATTTGTTACCGGGCAGTGTGGAGCTATAAATATTACATAAGAGGAACTAATCTAAAGATATTAAACTCTACGATATGTTCTGAAATGACTTGACTGTGAATTTCCAAGACACTGATTACTGCTGTATTGTGAAACTGTTGCATTATCTGTGAGTCCTTCGTGACATTTTTGGAAGCAGTGTTAAACTTAGCAAATATTAGAAAAGAGCTCTATGATCTGAGGTGGCTGACATGAACGATGAGTAGCTGAAACCATGTGAAAAAGGTTGCTTTGGTTTTGACTAGATCCTGTAAATGACTGTGTATGGAATTTAACAATTGTGAGGCAAAAGACGCCACACAAAAAGTTAGGCCTGGTACTAGAAGTAATATGTATTTTAATTGCATATCAATTTTAATTCCATTTAGATTGCGTAGTCTTAACATAAAGCAATAAATGTAATTGTAAAAAATGTGTCAAACAGTATTTATTTGTCAGTAAGACTACATCTTACTGACAAATATGCATTACATTATTTTTATTACTTTACATTTAAACTATGTAAAAAACGAGTAGAATCAAAATTTTTGTGCAATTAAATTATATAATCTTAAATATCAGGCCTGAATATTTTTTTCCCCAAACGGACACCATGAAAACACACACGCACGCACGCACCAATAGTCAAAAACCATTTTTTTAAAAATCGTATTCTAAAATGTCTTTTGTTCCTTACAGAGAAACTACATTGCATACTGTAAAAGGTAAAGAACCAGTGTTTTGACTAACACATAAAACATTTTATATATTATTTTTCACAAATAAATCTGCTGATCTGAATTCTAGTTTTATTAGAAGAGACAAAGTTTTTTGCACTTTCTTTCTAAATAAAAGCGATGAACTTTTCATTCTTTTCTGGCCGTTTCTGACCATGGTTCTTCTGCAGTTCATCCCGGGCTGAGCATGGAAACAGCACCATGCAACAGCCATTTTACAGACCATAATCCAACAGAGTCCCCCTTTTCCAAAGTGATTGACTGAAACAGTGACTTCACCATTATATGAAACTGCACAAACAAACAAGCAGGCCTTGTGCTCACACTAGGTCTTGCATGTAAGAACATCAGCAAAGGGGCCTAATAGATTCTTGTTGAAGATGCACCTAACCCACACCAGGTAAGTGGTGAAGGGCTTTATGTTTTCTGAAAACGTGTAGTTCTGCTGGGGAAGGATATAAGGCATGTAGGTGTTCTCTCCCTGCTCCTGGATCCACACCTCGTACTTCACCTCTCTCACTTTTAAGAATTTCAAATTCCATGGGATCTGCCAAGAGACTGTGAGTTTAGCCTCATTAGTGGTTTGTACTGAAGTTTGACATTTAGGTTCTCTGACCCGGCCCGGATGGACCGTGCTGGCCACCTTGGCCTTTTTTAAGCTGGGCTTGGTCTTCATGCCTTCTTTGAGGACTTCCAGAAAGGACGGGATGTCCACTAAAGTGTCCTGATAGATCCGGAAGAGCCACTCTGGGTTGCGGCAGCAAAGGTGCCTGGGGACTTCCTTGCTTGCCTGGATCCGATCCTGCTCCTCTTTGTCCAAGTGAGCAATGCCTCCTTGTTCCCAGGGTCTGTCTGGGTGGGTGACAGTATTCTCCTCCTTAGTGTTCCTCCAGGAGATGTAGTGAATGTCCATGCCTGGAAGGGAGGCAAGAGTTTTATATGGTGTATACTGCTCAGGGTTCACAGCAAAAGGGAACAGCTCCACCACAGCAGCACCTCTAGGGAGGAAGAGTGAGGTGATAAGCTGAGCTCCATGCATGCTGACCAACATGGAAGCGCCACTGATGACCTGTACAATACTGGGAAAAGACTGCTCTTCCAAGGACACTGTGACCACTCTCATCTGAAACTCTTGGGCCAGCGCCATGATTACCTCTGCTTCATTCAGTATAAGTCTTGTTGTTGACCGACTGAAAACGACAATGTAGTCATCCTTCTTCTCTTTCTCCTTCTCATCCTCACCGCTTCCTCCCTCCTTCTCCATCTCCTCTACCCTTGTAATGTTCATTTTGTCCATCAGAGCTCTGGCAAACTGCCTGATCTCATTGCCTGAGACCAAGATGTTAGCTTTGGGCCCCTGTGGCTGGACAAAGCCATATTGGTACCAGGTAGTCATTTTGGACAAGCCAACATAAGATTTAGTAAAGCACATGAGCTTTCCAAAGTTCTTAAGCTGTTCTTTGAGAAGCGGTTGCTTACTACTGAGAAGACGGTAAAGGTCAAAGTGTGGGCCTTCGCTCCAGCCCTCCATGAACACAAGACGAGCCTCGTCATCCAAATCTGAATACTGCTTCATGGTATAGTAGGCTGGGAGGAGGTCGTCGTGGAATACATGCATGAGGTTATCAGGATTAAACCGATTCAGGATCAGTGTTATATCTGGTACAAACACAGGCTTGGGCATAAACTTTAAAGCAGCAGCTGGGAGCTCTAGAAAGTTGAAATATTGGGTATTGTGATCTTCTACTGAAGACAAGTCCAGCAGGGCAGGTTGGAAACGTCTGGACCCCAGGTTAGGCAGCATGACAGAGGAATTGGAATGGAAGAACACAAACTCCTCTGCCTCAGAGCTGTAACAGAGGTAGTCAAAGCGGCAGATGCGGTCAGTGTGCATCTTCCCAGTGCAGACCATGCGGGTGCCGTGTTCCTGAAGCGCCTGCAGAGCAACATGGTAGTCGATACGGGCCTGTGAGACCTCCTGGGACTGCTGTGTCATATGCAGCTCTTCCTCCAACAGAGCAGCATGCTCACTCAGCTTGGAATATTTCCAAAGCAGAGCTGCGACCACAGAGACCAGCAGACCATTAACAAGTGCACCCACACTCATCCTGCAACCTGCCACTGAAGCCCGCATCACTGCTGCTGCTTAGGACCCACCTCCTGACGCCAACTGGCCTCCAACCTCAGACGGAGGCGACGAGACATCCGCTGCCAGGAGCAGACTTAAAGAAGGGGAAGAAGAGATGAGCACAAGTTAAAATATAGACATTAAAAAATCTATTTAAAAATAAAATAAAATTTAAAAAAAGGCATTGTTGCTACAAGCAATTATCTAATTAACAATATAGCACACAGAGGACAGCTATGATATAATAACCAAATTAATAGTCAGACCTATAAGGCTGCAGTGCTTTTCATGTAAGCAACACAATATCTGGTGATTCATCTGAACGGATCTCAGCTCTCACCTTTGGGAATAGCAGCTGTTTACCTAAGCGAACAAATGAGACATTTTCCTAACCTTACATCCTCTGTCACCCTCCCTGAATATGTCAAGACAAATTACAGTGCGAGGAGGCAGAGAGAAAGGAACAACACTATTGCTTTCAACTCTACTCATCTGCATACTGAGAGAACAAGTGAGTCATTGAGAGACTCAAAATCAAACCAGCGGCTAATAGCAAGCAGCTGCCAGCAGACACACGGCAGCTAGCATGCTAAATACCTACTTCAGGGCCAGCTTGGTTAAAACAACAGTTACTACAATAATCAATTACTTAACATGCTATTCCTAATTTTGAATGATATATGTACCCAGAGGAGGAGGTTAAATTTAAATGTATACTTTGGTATGCCATGCAATAAGTAATAATTTTATAAAAGGCATTTAGAGAGTGAATCGTTCCCTCTCTACAACAGGTCTTGTGACGCAAAGCAAACTAAATCAGGTCAGACAAAACTAAGAATGCACACACGCAAATTAAGCAAATTGTCAAGAACAACACATCGACATGAACCTAGCCTGGGGAAATGTTTGTTTTTTTAGATATAAATGGGTCCTGACCTTGGAAAGAAGATGGTGATCTTCTTTCCAAGGTCAGGACCCATTTATAACTTGCAATGTATGTACTGCTCTAACACTTTTCCAGTACTTTATTTTATCTTGTTCACTGCATCATTTCGTTCCTGTTATGTCATATAAAATTTGCACTTTTGTTTTTTGCTCCCTTGTTGTTGCCCTCCTGGACTCCCCGAGTTTCTTGCATGCTGTCTCTCTTCAGCAGGAGTCGACCTGACTCCCTGGGCTATTTTTGACATCCATGCAAGTACAATATGTTATTGTCAATAGGGTCATTTTTTGTGATCAACCTGAATACACACGGGCACAATATAGGCAAAACTCCCAAACACAAAATTAACAACGTAGTGCGTGCTGTACAGTGTAGCGAGGAATGCTCAGACCTCCAGACTGAAGAGACCAAACAGCCACTTCATAATGCACAACACAGAAGAGCCACCTTAACGGGACAAGACTCGGCTGTCTATCTGCATCTAAAGGACAAAGGTCACTCTTTCAAGGATGCCAATGTTCACATTTTGGACAGAGAAGACAGATGGTTTGAAAGAGGAGTGAAAGAAGCCATCTATGTCCACTGTGAGCGACCATCTTTGAACAGAGGCGATGGTTTACGACACCAACTGTCTGCCATTGATAATCAAGTTTTGAGATCCCTTCCCAGACGCTTCAACCGCCCAATCATGATGGGGTTGGGCTAGGCTTCACAATGGGTTCACCCGAAACCTTAGCTGATTGTAACCCACACCCGTTTTCATACCTTGGCTCGTGTGATTAGGTAGAGGATCAATAGGGGGTCCATGACCCTCTTGTGGACACTCCCATAGGGCTTAAAATCTGGGACCACCAAATCCTAAGAGCAATTGGTGGTTCTTTAAGTTTCCCTGAAGATGTTTCACCTCTCATCCGAGAAGCTTGAAGAGATGAAATTTAAAGAACACTTTTCTTTCAAAGCTCCTTAGACTATGATGACCTGGATGACTGAGACCCTTTGCAGACAAATATAAGCAGTTCAAAATGCAGCAATGAACAGCTGCTGCAGAGAATAAAGAAGGGTTGCACCAGCTCGACCTACTCTAGGTCTTAGGCAAAGTCTGCCACAATATGGCACTCTATGTCCAAGGTTTTAAAAGTTGAAGCATCTCGTTTTATTATTTTGTTCTCCGGATGACGACCAGGACAGTATGTCGCTAGCTGGGATGTATCTTGACCAATCTGATGATCATAGCATTTATCTCTTCAGCTAGCTTCATAATTCTCATACAACAATTCTGGTTTATAAATGTCACTAGCTCATCTTTATTTTCCAAGCTGCTGTCTTTAAAGCCCAAAATGTTACTCTGCAATATACACTAACGGTCAAAAGTCTTAGAACACCCCAAATTTTCCAGTTATTCATTCCAATTCAAGTCGTTCAAGTCCAATGAATAGCTTGAAATGGTACAAAGGTAAGTGGTGAACTGCCAGAGGTTAAAAAAAGGGGTAAGGTTACCAAAACTGAAAAATAATGTACACTTCAGAGTTATACAAAAACACCTTTTTCAGGGAACACAAAATGCGTTAACAATTTAAAGCTGCAGCAATGGAGGTTGACCAAGCCTTAAAGCTGGTGCTACTAATTCCTACAGCTGTTCTAACTTTTCTGGATTACTTACAACCCCCTCTGTCTGCATAAAACCAGTGTTGGAACACACTGTGATACCGTACCCTCGTGAGCATCAATTGAACAGTATTGTACTGCAGAAAGTAGTGTGTTATTACAAAAATGGCGAGAAAAAGGCAATTAACAACGGAAAAGAAACAGACCATCATAACACTTAAAAATGCAAGTCTTTCCTACAGAGAAATTACAAAGAAAGACAAGGTGTCAGTGAGTACAGTTTTCTTTATCATCAAGAAGCACTCAGACACTGGGGCAATCTCTGACAGAAAGGTGTCTGCCAGACCCAAAGCCACAACTGAATCAGAGGACAAGTTTCTGAGAGCTAACAGCTCGCGTGGTAGGTGGCTCACAGGCAACAGCTTTAAGCACAGCTTAATAATGGTCGTAATAAGTAAGCCTAACTTTCAACTGTGAAGGGAAGACTTCGAGCTGCAGGTTTGATAGGACTATTTGCAGCGAGAAAGTTATTGCATAAGATGTCATTATAAGACAAAGAGGCTTGCCTAGGCTGGAAGGTATTATGGCCTGATTAATCAAAATTTGAAATCTTTGGTTCATCACACAGGATCTTTGTGTGCCTTCAAGTAGGCGAAAGGATGGCTCCACAGTGTGTGGCATCCACTGTCAAACATGGAGGAGGAAGTGTGATGGTCTGGGGCTGTTTTGCTGGATCCAGGGTCGGTGACTTGTGCAGAGTAAGAGGCACCCTGAACAAAAACAGCTATCACAGCACTCTGCAGCGCCATGCAGTACCCTCTGGCATACACCTAGTTGGTCATGGGTTTATCCTACAGCAAGATAATGACCTAAAACATAAGTCCAAGCTTTGCCAGAACTACCTCTGGAGAAAAAGAAACTTCTAAGCTTGAAAACATTGAGTGACCAGCACAGTCTCCAGACTTCATCAAACTGGTTTGGGATGAAATGGACAGAAGAGTGAAAGCAAATCAACCTACAGGTGCCACACATTTATGGGAAGCTCTGCTGATAAGGGAAGAACTTTGTGAAGAATATTTGATTTCAATTGCAGAAAGCATGCCACAGGTGAGTTCAGCTGTTATAGCTGCCAAAGGTTAGTCAAAAGTTTAAAATAAATTTTGGCCGATAAATTAATTCCTTTCCCCCCCCCCTTTTTTTTTTTTTAACTCCAACTGCTTATTTGTACTATGCTTTCATTTCAGAGTGCAATGAGACATTAAATTGTTTAATGTCTCATTGCACTCTTTATTATATAGAAAACTGGAAAAATTGGGATGTTCTAAAACCTTGGACCAGTAGTGTGACATGTAATATACTGTGTGTGTGTATATATATATATATATACATACATATATACATACATACATACACATATATATATACATAATACATACATACACATAGATATATACATACATATATACATACATACATACACATATATATACATACACATACACATATATACATATACATACACATATACATACATACATACACACACATATATATACACACACACACATATATATACACACACATATATATACACACACACACATATATACATACATACACATATATACATACATACACATATATATACATACATACATATATATATACATACATACATACAATATATACATACAACACATACACACATAACACATATATATACATACATACATATAATACATACATACACATATATACATACATACACATATATATACATACATACATATATACATACATACACATATATATACATACATACATACACACATACATACATACATACATACACACATACATACACATATACAACATACATACACATATATATACATACATACATACATACATAATACACATATATATATATATATATATATGTGTGTATATCATGCTCAGAATGAGACCCTTGAGCGACAGTTGGAACACATCGCGGAACGGATCACTGCAGTTGTGAGGTCTCAGAATCAAAAGAATGATAACACCATGGAACAGAAGTTTGATACCATCATGGGGAGGCTCGCGGCTCTCCAACGGGAGATTGAGAGACCAGCGTCAGAGTGTTAAAGAGCAGCCTGAAAATTCTCCTGGGCTGCTCGCATGGAAATTTACAAAATCAATATCAAAATTGCGGACTCCCATCACGGCGCCAGCTGTGGCCCAAGGCTGGAGCCGAACACTGATCCCCCCTCCCTTTCCAAACGCCTTCGATGCTTGTGCCCTACCGGGGAAGATGGCAGTCAACTGGACCAGCGCAGACATGCTGCAGGACCGGATGCGCTGTCTACACCGGCTCTCTCTTACCCTTTACCCGCCCCTGTTGCTTGTCTTGTGTTTCTATGGTGTATTGATAGTCATGTGCTTTTTGTGCTGAGGTGTTTTTTCTGTTATCAAACTGTTCTCCCACTAGGAGCTCAGTCTGAGTGGAGTTTTTTTTCTCCTCCTCTTACCTCATGTTATGTATTTTCGTTGTTTTTTTCCTATCA